AGAGTTGTCAATCAGGTGGCCCACTCCTCCCATGACCAGTCTCAGGTGGGTGCATGACCCAGGCTGGCCCATCAGCATAGCCATCCCCCTGCTTCAGTGGTTGGTTAGGGTGGACATGTGACCCAAGCTGGGCTACCCGAGCCTCCCCAAGGGCTGCTTGATCACACCAGAGCCAGTGGAGAGGAACCTCTTTGTCCTTTTCAAGAGGCAGGGGAAAAGGATCGCCTCGCCTGGAGGATGCTAAGTCGGAACTGCAGGGCCCCCACCCCCCGAGCTCTGGATGGGAAGAAACCTTCCTGTTATGTGGAGTCCTGGGTTCCAGACAAGGTTCCTCCGCTTTCTGGCTGAGTAAACATGGGCAGGCCACCTACCCTCTCAGAACTTCAGCGACTTCGTCTGAAAGCAAAGACAATGCCTACCTACTTTGTAAGGAATTGTTTTGATTTAGTGAGGGTATGTGTAAAATGCCTGGCAAACCGCAAATCCTCAGTAAATGTTAGTTTTGTTTTTGTGGTTTGGCTTGATTCAGTTTCACTCTATGGAAATCTCTGAACTCCAAGCCAGGACAGTTTTTTGAAATTGATTCCAATCTTTATTCGTGTGAGTGTTTGTGAGCATGCCACGTGGGTGGTGGGCCATGTTCGTTCTGACTCCCAGCTCTTGATAGGTGGTGATGTACTTCCTGGGGACCCCCCCAGGGACAAGCGGCACCCTGGCCCGGGGAGAAGCCCCTCTGTCTCACCACTCCTGTGAGGGAGAAGCATTCTCTTTCTCCCAGTGCCAGCTTGGTGGCTGCCTTAAGTCATGACCTGATAGGCTGTAGGTGGACCTGGGGGGACTAGCTGAAGACCTGCTATTCCAGTTGGCCCCCACCATGTGTTCTGCCTCCCAAAACCGGACCAAGAAGAATAATGAAGTTCATTTTGGGAAGAGCTCCCATGTCTTCTGTTAACTGAGAACATTCTCCAGTAATCCCTTGATTAATCCCTTTGCCTTTAGTACAAAATCCAGAACCCTTGAAGGCCCATGCATGGGTTTCTGTGATCCAGTCTTACTCATCTTCCGTCTCTTCTCTTGATGCATGCAGTAGCTAAATGTACCTTTCTGTGGACCTACCCTGCACTTCCCCACCGATGTGCCTAAAGATAGTGAGAGTTACGTCTCCTGGACAGCTCTCCTCTCCTGCTAGGGATGGGCATTGCTCAGCATTCAAGTGCTCTGTACCACTCAGCCTGTGTTATAAGCTCTTGGTACCAAGGCAGGCTCTGCAATTTGCCATTTGCACAAGAGATAAAACTCATTTGTTATCACATCATTAATCTGTAAGCTCCTGGATGACAGAGGCTATGGATTTCTTATTTTTCCTGCTAAGGCACTAAAAATCTTGTGTCAGGAACATACTAAGTATTTCATTAATGTTTATTAAATGAATGAGAATCCTTGTTCTGAAACCATTCACCATCTGGCTTTCAGACTGGAACTTGTAGGTCATGGTTACATGTGTAGTTACATTAGATCTTCATAATAATTCTAGACAATATGATCATCCCCATTTTAGTAGGGGAAAGCTCAATTGCTAGGCAGTTTGCCCAGGTTTGATCTCTGGTTTGCAAGATTCCAAGGTTTATGCTCATAGTCACTGCACATGTGGCCTGTTGAGGTTTCAGTTGCTCCTGTCTGAGTCACTTTGTCGTTTGAGTGTTTGTGTGCCGATTTGAATAACTCTGGGGCATATTACCCAGCATCTTTGCTTGGCTGGTAATAGGAGCTCTGCTCATTCTGCTTAAGGCAGAGGATGCAAAAACATTATGTCTTTCACAGGTCAGGCTGCTATAGCAAAGCACCACGGACTGGGTGGTTTATCAACAAGAGGAATGTGTTTCTCGCAGTCCAGAGGCTGGAAATCTGGAACCAGGGTGCCACATGGTCAAGGTCTTGGGAGCATTCACTTTTGGGGTGTAGACTGGGGATCTCCTAGTACCCACATGTCAGGGGAAGACAGAGAAAGGAAGCAAGCTCTGTGGTGACTCTTACAAGGGCGGAAATTGTATTCATGACCTCATCTAACCCTGATACCTCCCCAAAGCCCATCTCTTAATGCCATCACATCGGGGAGGGGCAAAGTTCCAACGTATGGATTTTAGAGGCATGCAAATATTCAGTCCATAGCAACTTATTTATTCTCCCACAAACAAATCTGGAAGCAAAATATTGAGATCTATATATGCTCTGTTTAAATTTTAAAAAAGGAAGGAAGGAACTAAGTTTTTCACAAGCATCCCAGTCCCAGCACTGGCAAATCGAGGTAGGGAAAGGAAGCCAGAAATGGCCATTATGCTTACTATGTACCAGGCACTTTGCTGTGAGCTTTAAGGACAGGAGTCTCATGAACACCACCACTCACCTGACGTACACACAACAGCGTATGTGTAACCAAATTGAAACTGTGACCCACAGGTTCCAGTCTGAAAGCCAGACTCCATGAACAGTTTCCTCGACACCCCCTTCCATCACAGAGCTGACCTCTCCCTGCTTTGGGGCCCCCTCTTGGCCTTCTTCAAAGGCCTGTTGCATAGCCGGGTGTCCATTTCTGCCCCATCTCTAGGCCTGCCTGTCCAAAATGAAACAGCTCTAGTCCACATCGAGATATGCTGTAAGTACAAAGTACACACCAGACTTTAAAATCTTAGTGTGGAAAATAGAAGGTAAAATATCTCATTAATAATCTTTATCTCGACTGGATGTTGAAATGATAGCATTCTGTATATTTTAGACTAAGTAAAACATTGTCCATATTAAATTTCCTTTTTTACTTTTTTAAGGTGACTATTAGAAAATGTAACTGTGTATGTTATTCACATTTATATGTGTATTAGACAGCATGGTTTTAGACTGAATTTCTTGAGGAAAGGTCTGTGTCTTACTCTCTTTGTAAGAGCAGGAACAGAGTCCTGTACCCAGTAAGCATTCATTAAAAATTTTTTGAGCAAACACATGGTTTTGTTTAACATATAGCCCCAGATCTTCTGGCCCCAGGGAAGAGATCTAGAATTAGTCAAAAGAGCCCAATGAAGTGACTCATCATAGTGAGACAGAGCAGCATCTTAGCTGTGTCCTCTGAGCAGAAACGATATTCCCCAACTCAAGAGACTGATTAACAAAACAAAAAGCGAGGAAGAAGGGGTTGTGTGAGTTGACGGGACAGCTGGAGTCAGGGCACTGGTGGGTAAGACTGGAATACAGTTTGTGGAAAGCCTCAAAAGCTTCCCTCTTTGGCTTCAGACTAAAGAGTAGATCCCTAGAAGAGTCATAATAGGAGCTGTGATCCTTATCCCATAGTTCCTTGCTGCTCCCATACGCACCAATGGCTTCTTGCGTCTGCCTGTCTTGAGGGCATTGTCCAGTCACAAGACATGTGCTTGGTTCACACAAGGGGAAAGTCAAGAGTGTCAGGGAATCAACATGCAGGTTAGGAGTGGCTCTTAACCAATGGTGCATGCGAATCGGTGGGGAAATATGACAACATCCTCATCCTTCAAGTGGGACAACTCTGGGGGATGTCTGCCATCGGTGGTAACCTGCTCATCATCTCACCCTTAATTGGCTTCCTCCCTTTCTTGTTCCACATTCCCTGCCCCTCATCTGTGCTTCTTGGGATCACCTCCCAACACTGTTTATTTACAGTTGAATCTTTGTTTCATTGTCCAATTTTAGAGGACTCAAACCAGGAACAGAGAATCAAGGTACTTGATGTCTAACTCTGGACCACTCTTAGGCTCATCTCCCATCTCTCCTCCCATGAAACCCTACATTTACTCTTAGTAATGGCCTCCAGCTCACACCCCCAGGCTTTGATGCCACACTTTTGCACATCCTCATTCCTTCCCATGGAAATCCAAGATTGTCAGACTGGCATTCAAAGACCTCCAAGCCTGGTACCAACTTCCCAGTATGCCTTTCTCCTGCCCCTCTCCATCTCCATGTGTGTATGTCAGCTATACCATCATACACACCATTCCTGCCATATGTCCTCCAAAAGTTCTCACCTTCTTGTTTTTACACAAATGCTTCCCTCTGCCCCAAATGGCTTTGGGAAGGTGTACTTCCATTACTATCTGAACCTCATCCACACTGCTGAAAGAATTTTGTTTCCAACTGCTAGATTTCTTCCCCATTCTCAGAGTTACCAGTGAAGATGAGGGTTTTAATTTAGATCCCAGGATATTTTTGCTGGACTGTATTTACATGTGATAATGTGCCAACACTGGTGATGTGAGGCCATGAGATTTATGAGCACATGAGCATTAAATGGGAATATATAAGAAAATTGTTTATCCTTTGACTTTTTAAGAATTTCAGTAACAATGTGATGAAGTTTTTCTACTCTGTAAATTCAGGTTTATGTACATGGCATTTTATTGACCTGGACTATTTATTTTTGGGGGGAGCCCTGGCTTACTTTCTAGCTTGGTTCAAAATCCTGGCTCCATCACTTGCTCAGCTGTATGATCTTAGGCAAGTGCAAAACCTCAGTCTTCAGTCTTATCACCTGTAAAGTGGGCATAATGATAAACCCTACCTCTCAGGGCTGTTGGGAGGGTGGTGAGTCCAGATTTGCTAAGCGAGTCTAGGTGCTAATCTTGTCAGTTCCTCTGGTCTCCAGCTTAGTTTGTGATATATATATTATATATTGCTATTTTAACAGCACATAGTAGATGTCTTGTAATGCCATTATAATTATTGTTATCATTGTCATTATTATATGCCTTCAACAGTTCTTTCATTTACTGGTTGCTCAAGGGAACATTCTTGAATGACTTTTTAGAAGCTTGTCTCAACTTGACCCCTATTTTCGCTATGCAGTCTTTAGTTTTTCATCTGAAAATTCTTATCACATGCTTTTTATTTCTTTTTCAGCCACTCATTTCTTGCATTTTAATAGAGGGCTACTCTTCCAGCAACTGTTTATGTGGAGTAACTAATGTCAGAAGAGGTTATGCTATGCTGAATACTTTATTTATATTTTTTATGTAAACATAATTTGCTTTGTAGGCACAATATAACAAAAGCTCTAAAGCCACAAATACATTAGACAATGTTTCAGTTCACTCCAACCAAGCTTAAATTACAGAGAAGCCTTCACAGTTCCTTTAAGGCAAACTGAGACATTCTTTATATTTCCTTCAGAAAAACAATCACAGGATAGGAAAGAAGGTCCTTAAAATGAGTGCATTAAACAATTAATTTTGATATTTCATTTTTTTCCTATTCTTTATAGCATAAGTGGATCAAACTCTAATTTTCTCTTCTCATTCCATATTCTGAGGAGACAAAAGGGTTTTCACTAACCAACTGGGACAATTTGGGATTGTCGAAGTAACCCTGCCAATAGGCAAAACGGATTTGGGGAAGAATGACTTCTGCTTCTCCTCTGGACATAACATCTGGATTCTGAGTGTTAGAATTCCCACTCCCCTGGCAGAGGAGAGCCCCCTGGCATGGCCAGCCCTAGAACATGCCATTTCTGTCCAGCTCACCAGAAATGTCCCTTGGGTAGCAGTTCTTAAAACCTCATTGTTAGCTTGGTTATGGGAGAAACATCACCAGTAATACAGCTTTTAGCGAACATGTTGGGGGGATAAAACCTCTGCATTACCTTTCCAAGTGGCCCAGAACTGCAACATTGGTGAGTCCTGGGATAAGAAGAGATGACACTGGTGTCTCCTTTTGAGATCGTCTCATCTTTCTGCCCATGAGATGGTAGCACCCTTTCTGGCCTTCACATTCTACACGCACATTCACCGTGAGGAGTAACTCCCTTCAGATAAATATTTGGCATAAATAAGTCATAATCACAAGCTTAAGATAGGAAAAAAGAACGATTAATGAGGTGGCATTTGTTACAGAAGGATTTGGGAAATGAAACAGGTAATTGCTGAAATGTAATCATTCCCGTCGCTTTGAGGAGGAGTTGGGTCCACCGTACGGCGCGCTGGGGGACGGAGCAACGTGAAAACACCGTCAGCGTCTTCCAGATCGCTAAGCATGTCTAGGCGCTAATCTTGTCAGCTCCTCTGGTCTCCAGCTTGGTTTGTGAGTGATGCCATCAACCCTGGGGCCCTTAGGATCTTGAGGAGGGAATGAGGAGCCCCCTGTGGAGATACTGAGCCTCCTTCTCTTCCTGCAGGGGAATTGCTCTCCTCAAGCCGAGTCAACTGGGGTTTGTGGACAGGGGTAGGGTTTCACAGGAGTTTAGAAGCTGAAAAATTGGACGAGGGTATGCAGTCAAGTAGTCTGGTCCCTGGTTCCCAGAAAAGCAGGGGCCTTGCAAAGAGTCTGCACCATCATTTACATTTCAAAGAGGAACTGCGTATTTGGCATCAGATACTGAACATCAATCTTTTGCATCAGTAGAGTTTGTTACATGCTGGAACATGTTTTGGCAAGAAAACAGATACACATTGAGTGCTCATTTCCAAATAGGGTCTATAAGGGAGGACTTCCTTGGGGGTAAAGGTGGCACCTCACCACCAGTAAACGAAAATAGCAAAATCAGTAATGCCCATGGCAAGTATGGAAAAAGAAAAATAGGTGAGCCTCAGTAATGATTTCTAACATAGTCCCACAGGTGGTGAGTTCTCATCAAATTAAAATATATGTTGCAGGGGGAGGGTTCGCTCATGACACGTGGTTTCAGAGGGGAAATCTCTATGGCTGCTCATCAAACTCATGCTGTTGACCCATCTTCTATTCTGAAAAATCCACATCTATTTCCCTTTGTTTCTGGTTAAGAACCACTGGAGGGTCTGAGCATCAGAGGCTAAGAGGAGAGTGATTCAACCTTTTGACCACTGAACAAATGAATGAATATTAGGACGTTTGCGTCTTAAATGGGAAGAGGGAAAGTACTATTTGGAGACATTCTAGATTTATAGGTTCATGAAACGTCTCCTGGCCTACCCTCTTTCTGCCGGATGGATTGGCAAGGGCTATTTTCAGGAGCTTGGGTGGCTGGCAGCAAGAAGTGTCACTGGCCTGAAGAATTGTAGAATCTGAATAGTGCTTTGTGATAACACCTTTCAATCCAAACTTGTCTTTGCCCACTGGGCTTTGGGCCTGCGGGCTTGTACGAATTTGCAAGGCTGTTCTAGAAGTGTCAAGAAGGACCCAAAGATGGATGATTTGGGAATAGGGGAAAGGAGAGAGTGTAATACAGAGACTGGGGAGGGACATATACTGCATGTAGTGGGATTGGCACTTAAGTTCAAAAACAACAGCGATCAACAGCTTTTTAGCTCAGCTGACGGCAGACAAACACGACACACACTGGACTACAGCATTTGTTCACTGGGGCGCAGAAGAGCTTTCTCCACTGGCTCCCCTTCTTCCAAACCATCCTTCACAGTCTCCCGCCTGGGTCCTGGGTTACTGGATGAAGGGCATCCGCTCCTTGTTCTCGCTGTCGCCCTCGTGGTCCTCCTCCTCTTCTCCCGCCTCACTCGTCTCTGTGCTGTCATTGGCCATCTGCAGTTGAACAGAAGATTTTTCAGAGGGCTCTGCAATCTGTCTCCTACCTTCTCTGAGCATCTGATGGAGCCCCTCGGGAAGGACTTATTTGAGTACTAAGAGCTAGGGGCCTTGTTTTCCCCAGGAAGGCAGTGTAGACTCACTGTCTTATGTTGGGTGCACCAACAAGCAGACTCTAAGGTTAGGATTTCAGTACAAATATTTGGAATTTGGGCGATGATTCCAGGACTTGGGAGATGATGCATATGCAGTCCTGCTCCCTGGGTGCTATCCTTCCATGGCCCTGCCTAGTTGATGCCTGCTTTTCTTCTAGTGCCCAGCCCACCTCCTCAAGGAAGCTTTGCAGAGTTCCCTAACTGGAACAATCCCCATCATTAGCTCTTCTTCTTAGCATGGACCAACAACTGCCATGTCCCACTTATATGTACAATTTATTGACTGATGCCACCTGCCCCAACCATAGGCACTGTGGCCACCATGGAAGATGACCAAGTCTCCTGTTTTCTTCTAGTTTTATCCTCTGCAACTAGCATGGCACCTGACACAGCAGGTGTGCAGTGCATACTTTTAGAATAGTGAGTAAGTCATCATGAGAGCTCTCCCTCATCAGCACAAATTCCACATCCACCGTGTGGGAGGGGATGCATGCCCATCACCCCTTTCTATCTTCTCAACACCAGTGAGGCAGTATCAATACTAATAACTATTGCTGTCACTGCTATTATACATCAACCTAAGAAGTCGTGGGGCAGCAGAGGAGAACAGCCTGTGGAGAAGGCCACCGCCATTCTCCCAGGACTCGAGCAGGGCTGCCCTCAGATGCTGTGGGGTCTGCAGGAAGCAGCCCCATCTCTGTTCTCACCCTGTGACACCTTTTAAGATGAGCCCAGCTCCATTCCGGCCCAGCCTCAATGAGAAAAGGCCCCATACAGGAGACACTTGGCTCTTGGTGCTCCCTGGAAAACCCACTTCAGAAGCCATCAGCAGCAGTTACCTTCCCCTGCAGCGTGCTGCCCACATGCCTCGCGGCCCAGAGAGCGTCTGCAGGAGGGGGGGGTGCCCTGTAGCATGTTTGGCTGGGAAGATTCATGGCCAGTGACGCAGCTGAGCCTCTGAAAGTGGTCCTTCCAGTAGAAGAAAGCACCACTGTGGGCCGCCTGCTGCTCCTCTGCCAGCACCTGCTGATGGGAGTGACCCATTCCCCACAGCCTCGATCCTGTGCTGCTCCCTCTGATATTAGGTGCTCACATTAGAAGACATTAGAAATGACTTCACTGGGCCCATCCTGGGTCTCATGATGCCCTGTGTTTACCCTGACCACCTGGTCCCTCTGCCTCGGGTCTAGTCCTCTGTCAGGATGAACTGTTATCCCCTCCCACTACAGAGACCTTCCAGACACCACAGATCTGAGTTGGCTAATTCTCCATCATGTTTCATTAGGCCACAGGGGTAAAAGCCCTCCTGAGATTCAGGAATAAGGACAATGACATATGCCAGGGCAGGTCCTGAACGGTCATCCTGAAAGATGGGCATTATCAGCTCCTGCTCTAGTGAGTTTTACTCCTGGTGAGATCCGTCTATGTAAGGGTATTTCCTGGTAGAAGAAAACCAAATCAATGGGGTCTTTAGGGGACATCTCGGAGGCAGTTGGCATTATTCTGTTGACTGTGTGGATGTGAATTTATTAGGTTTTACCAGAAATTCCTCCCACATGTGGCAGCTGTGAGGTAGCACCTGTAATAGACACAGGTCGGCTGTTCCTACCCTTGCCTGAATGCCCTCAGATTGCCCTTGAAATGCTCTCACCGAAGCGTACATTCACTTAGCATTTGGCCCGGTTTGCGACTAACCCTTCATCTGCGCAGTCCCTTGACCACTGCTGGTCTCCGTAAGCTGGACAGCTGCCTGTATTTCCCTCGACCTCACCTGTGCCTGCACCTTGTAGACCCTGATGGGTTGAACTGAATGGATTCCACTGTTGACTCACCAGTGGAGTCGGGGTCTTCTCTACGTCCAGAATTAACTTGCCAATGTTCCCCCGGTCATGGATCCGCTGCATGGCTTCCTTCACCTGAGAGAGAGAAACGAAAGCACTAGTCAGGTGAGACGTCGCCAAACCACCTGCTGCCCACCAGGGGGCGCTGGGATCCACGTTCATAGTAGCTAAGCCAGAGAGTTTCAGACGTCGGTGCAAATAAATTCTTATTGTGTCACACACTGGACTTGCACAGCCGCCTGGTTTCCTGGGTCTAAGAATCTATGGGTGATAACCACTGAGACAAGAATATGAAAAATTCTCTAAAATGAAAGAGCGGTGGGGAGGAGGGTACTCTGGAGTTTCAAGAGTTAGGTGCTGCAGAGTGGCAAGACCTAACAGCCAGAGTAAATTCTGACCAATACAGGTTTTTGAAGGTCATTTGTGTCCTGCTTCCTAAATTTTATGTAATTCTGATTCATAGTATGGCTAAAAAGACCCGTTACCTGGGCAGAACTGCATTCAGGTAAATTCCCATGATTCCTGGTTATTATTGAGTGGAAATTTTGTTTCCACCTATTCAGAAGGGTACCCAGAACCAGTATCCTCCCCAGGGAAGAGGGGAAGAGCTCCATTTCAAATGATGGAGGCTTGTCAGAACAATCTCTGTCCTCTGGGACCTTCAGAAAAAAGCAGGAGTGGGACTAACCTGATTCATGTTTTGGGCATTTCATTCTGTTGTGCAGAAAAATGAGCTGTATGGGATCCTGTGAGGATTAGATATAAGAAAAGGGGAAACAGAATGCCTACTGCTTGGCATGGATGCATCCTACATATTTCTTAGTGAAACCTAAAAGGAAATGCAACATTCTTGATTTTTTTAAAGTTTACGATAGATCTAGTCTAAATATTTTTCCTGAAGTTTCAGTGTTTTAAATATTTTTGTTCATTCAGTCCATACATATTCATTAAATGTTGCTTATTGGGTAGATACTATGGTTTTTTTAAAAATTTATAAGTAGGGTGTCTGCTTTTGAGGAATTCAATCAAACTGATAAAGCAGTTTACTTATATAAAAGCCATAGATGCCTTCTCATTTGGGTAAAAACTTGACAGCAACATCAAAATGTGCATATTCTAATTGCTTTTCTGGGACTTTATCCTAAAGATATGTTCAAATTATGGGGGAAAAACTTGTCACACAAAAGATACTCAATCACAGCATTACTTTTAATGGCAAAACATTGAAGCAACTTTTACGTTGCAGAAAAAGGGAATGGTTAAGTAAACCACGGCTCTTAGATTTACCTACTGAATGGAAATGCTATGCAGCTGTTAAAGTGCTAATTATAAAGAATATATAGCAGGATTAAATGCCTTTATAATATTGCTAAATGAAAAAATCAAGATGCATATTTTTATTTACATCCCCATAAAAACATAGACATCTTAAAAATAACCAGAAAGGATTTGGATATATGATAAAACATTAGGTAGAGGAAATGAATACCTTTAACTCTAGTGTCTTAACATTGTTATTTAATGTGGTATCAAATCAGTATTTAATATAAATTAAGTGCATTTTTAAATGCAGTCTTTGGATAACCATCGGTTTGAATCAACCTCTTTTATAGATTGATAGCGCTGTATGATTATTGAATTTCCTGACCTTAATACATAATCCAGTAGATTTCTTCTATTCCTGTGAAGAAAGTTGCTTTTCAGTGTGCTTTCAAATATTTGATCATTACAGATGCTACTTACAGAGAGTCTTTAGATAACATGGCAAAACAGTGTCTAGCTTCCAACCATCCTCATTTCCAGACCCATCCATGTATAATTCCCTCCCCTGGAACGTGGCTAGCAACTTGCTTCTAAACTAGCAGGACACTGCAAAAGGGATAGGATGTCACTTCCAAGGTCAGGTTATAAAAGATCATGACTTCTAGTCTGCAGCCTCTCTTTTCCTCTGGTTCCTCTTGCCTTCCTTGTTCTGATGACAGAAGTTGCCATGTTGTCAGCTGCCCTGTGGAAAGGCCCACATGGCGAGGAACGAAGGGAGGTTGAACCAACAGCCAATGAGGAGCTGATACCTTGAGTCCAAAAGCCCACAAGGAACTGGATCCTGCTAACAACCGATAACAGAGCTTCGGAGCAGATCCTTTTCTAGTTGAGCCCTGAAATGCGGATGAAGGCTTGGCCGATACCTTCACTGAAGCCTTGGGGAGAGATCCTGAGCCACAAGACCCAGCTAAACCTTGCCCAGATTCCTTACCTACAGAAACTGTGAGATCATAAATGTTGATTGAAGCCAGTAACTGTGGGGGACAATTTGTTATGCAGCAATAGGTAGCTAATACATTCTTAACTTGCAAGATAGATAATATACCCATTTTATAGAAAGTACCTTGATGCTCAAAGATTTAAACAATTTGTCCACAGATTCTATGGCTACGGGTGACAAAATCGTGGTTCAAACTCAGGTTTATCAGACTTAAAACCGGTGCTCTTCCCAGTTCCACACAGACTGTGTCGCTTCATTTGATTCTCAAGGTAGAGGAAGGTGGTAGGTAACGTCTCCCATAATGGCTTCCCAGAATTCAGTTGCTTATTACTTTGGCAAGTCATTAAGCACCTGGAAACTCCTTGGAGATGAGGAACATTGTTTTGTGCTGCTTCTCCAGTAAGATAGAACCTGGGGAATCTGAAAAGCTGTTTTCTTACCAGCTAAAGCTTATTGTGATGCTAGGGGAAAAAAAGCCCCCTGTAGGGCTGGTGCTAATCTGCATATTTTTTAGACATTTTTCCTTCCTAAAATGAACTGACAACTTACAGTTCCTTATGTGGGGGAAGGAAAAAGGGTTAGAAGTCTTTCCAGCAGATGACTGTAAGTGTCTGATGCCCAGTTGTCTGTTTGAGCTTACATCCTCAAAGACTGCTCTTGGAGATGAGCAAGGGCCTTTCTGATGACAGCTGGGAAGGCAAAAAACTTCCATTTTTTGATCAATTCTTTATTAGGCACAGTGTGAGGCTTTGTACATATGCTGCTTCATTGACTCTGCTTACCAAGCCTCTTAGTGAGTATTGGCATTACAGCGTCACAGGTGAGAAGCCCAAAGGTGAAAAATCTGAGGAGTTAGTCCTAGGTCACCATCTGAAAGGGTGTTAGAGCCACATGGGAACTGAGCGAGCTGCTTTTCCTTTTCAGGAATCTGAACCAAACCCAGGACAGGGCTCCGCCATCTGCAACCCAAACTGCCCTCCCGTGACACCACTGCAGGTTAAGTCTGCAAAAAGAGATTTTGCTCTCAAGTTACCAGTTTCTAAACTGAGGTACCTCAGCAGGTAATAGCGCCCAAAGATGGTGGTGAGAGATTCCAGAAAGCTACCTGTCTCTCTCATGGCTACCAGAGAGATTTTTCTAAGGCAGACTTCTGCTTGGAAGTCTTTTCCCATTTCACTCAAAAGCCTCACAGACCTGCACTGCCTGACACAGTAGCCATTAGCCACCTGTTCCACTGAGCGCTAGCACAAACGGCCATGTGCTCTGAGTGCAAAACACCCAGCGGACTTCAAAGACTTAATAGAAGAAAATACAAATTATGTGAGTAAGAATCCTTGACACCAATTCGATGTTGAAATGAGAACGTTTTCAATATTACGAGTTAAGTAAAAGTTTATTAATTTCACATTTTACTATTCTCAATGTGGCCATTACAAAACCTAAAACTTTGAATGTGGCTCACGTTATAATTCTGCTGGATGGCATTGAACTTGATTTTCAGGAGCGGATGCCTGTTGCCCACTGCCCCCACCCCCCGGCTTTATCACTTCTCCCTCCCCTCACTGCCAGCACTCCCAGCCCCGGAGACTTAGCTGAAGTTCTCTGGGCCTCGCAGCTTTGTGCCTCTGGAGACTGGGTTCCTTCATGGAGGGCCTGTTCCTGGAGCCAGCTCGCATTTGTCTTGCAGCTGTCAGTTTAGATGTGAGCTCTTCCAGGAGGCACCTGCGCCCTGCCCCTTGCAGCCTGGACCATGTCTCCCTTGGGCTCCTTCAGCACCTCGGACCAGCTAGTAATGCACCCTAACCCCTGCTTGGAGCTCCACTCAGCAGCCTCTCTCCCCAGTTTTGCAAATCTCTAGACTAGCAATGTGCAACACAACTCTGAAACGAGCCTCAGATGCAACCAAAATATCTCTAGTTACTTAAGACATCGAAAAAGAAACTGGTGAAATTAATTTTCATAATATAATTTCTTCAGCCAGATCTATATATTACTTAATATAATCGAGTATTAATGACATATTTTATATTCCTTTTTTTTTTTTTTTTACTAAACGTTTAGAATCCAGGGTGTATTTTACACTGACAGCATGTCTCAGTTCAGACTGACCACGCTTCGAGTGCCCAGTGGCTGCATGTGGCTCACATCTACCATATGGGAGAGTGCAGCTCTGGAATGGAGGGACAAGGGAGCCAGCCTCAGGCACCCCAGCACAAAGGAGTATCTGGCATATGATAGCCTCTAGAATGAATGAGTGAGTGAATGAATGAGTAGGGAGCCAGGAGAGATGTGGAGAGAGTGAGATGCCATGTGGCTGGCACACATCAAGGTTTCTGTCCTGTCTGTCCCGCATCTCAGAGCTCCTGGCCCAGGCAGCTGTCTCTCTGTCTCTTGGTGGCCTGCTCCATGCCGCCTGGGTGCCCAGTGGAGTCTGTTCACAATCAGGGCCGTGTTCCCCACACCCATTTACACTGACAGCATGTCTCAGTTCAGACTGGCCACGCTTCGAGTGCCCAGTGGCTGCATGTGGCTCACATCTACCATATGGGAGAGTGCAGCTCTGGAATGGAGGGACAAGGGAGCCAGCCTCAGGCACCCCAGCACAAAGGAGTATCTGGCATATGATAGCCTCTAGAATGAATGAGTAGGGAGCCAGGAGAGATGTGGAGAGAGTGAGATGCCATGTGGCTGGCACACATCAAGGTTTCTGTCCTGTCTGTCCCGCATCTCAGAGCTCCTGGCCCAGGCAGCTGTCTCTCTGTCTCTTGGTGGCCTGCTCCATGCCGCCTGGGTGCCCAGTGGAGTCTGTTCA